TTGTGTGACAGTGCAACGGATGTTGGGTGGTTGTATACTGTTTTCTCGTTGGGAAATATATAAATACCCTGCATAGAAATTAAAACATAACCGTCTCGCCTTGAAATCTGAAATAATGGCTTTTCTCCTTACTATCTCCCAATGACTTTCTCAAAACAATTCCTGAGAATTATCAATAGGGAAACAACACGTATGCACGTGACATGCTTACGAATTCAGCTCACTGACGCGTGACATCGCGAGAGGACTTATCAACAACAATGTCAATACAACAATGTCAATCTTTAAGAAGCTATCAAGCTCTCTGCTTTTGCTACCGCCCGTATGTTATCAGAATTAAAAATTTCATACATTTCCCAACTAAACACAAGAACGATGTTTAATGTTACACAAATAAATCAAAATGCTAAAAGCTCTATGAATCAGATAAGCCAGTCCCATTTTTCCATCTTTCCAATCCCTCCATTATTCATACACAATATTCCTCCTACTGTTCCGTTACTCGCCCGAAATTAATGGCTCAACCTCCTCACTATTGTGGTTGGTCAAGCTCGAGGAGCCGACCCAGCCTTCAAGGAACAATGCCATTATGATTCCCGTCACCCCACTGATCAAACCAAAGACCCAGGCCATTGTTGCCCAACCATACAATGTTGTCAAAGTTCCTGCGAGAATTGGACCAATAAGGTTTCCCAATGCGAAGGCTGAGTTATACAATCCATATGCTTGAGCAGTGGCACCCTTTGGGCCGAATACTCCTGGATGTGCCAATTCAACCGACTCTACAACTTGTGATATTTCCTTCGCAAGTGGAGGACCGCACAATCCTGATCCGATCCCAATCATGGCGAGAAATACACACAGAAGGATCAGCGATTGTGTCGAGTTGTCTTCCACTAAGCGTAAAAGCACGAAGAATGGCAAGCAAATTATAAAGCCCGTTGCTGTGAGTATGCGAGTTGAGTTCCTCATCGAGTCCACTGCTCGACCCGCGAGAGGACTTCCTATTAAGCTCGGCAGGAACAAAGGCAGGAAAATTAGACCTGCTCCTGTAGCAGACCAGCCGAAAACTCCTTGGACAAAAATAGGAAGAACTCCGTCGAATGCGGTCAAGAATCCACCGATAACGAGCCATCCAAATGTAGCAACTAGAAGACGAGGTATAGTCAGTAATCGAAACATTGAACTTTTGGCGGGCGAAGTCGGTCTCCCGTTATTGGATGGCTCAATGCCGCCCGCTGACCCAGGTGGAGAGGGTGATATGGTTCCATAACCAGAATCACTTCTCTTTAACTTCCATTGTTTCGCCGTGTCCTTCTCAATTACAACCAATCGCAGAATAATATCTATTGCGATAATGCCATATGAGAAGCCGAAGACTGCCGAATCTCCTCCGGCGTCATACAACAGACCGCCAATTGTCGGACCAAGAAACGAACCTGCAATCATTGCAGGCGATAGCCAGCCAAGTGCTTTCCCGATGCCGCCCAACCCCACGGTATCAAAGAGGAGTGCAAAGCCTACACTGTAGACTGCAGCTGCGGCCAATCCCTGCAGAACTCTGGCTGTTATTAAAAGTGCTATGGTATTTCCAACGTGTAGCATGATAGTTGCTCCGGCCAAGGCAATAAATCCGAGAAGCAGGGGAATTCGTCTCGACCCATTTCGATCCGCAAAATATCCAAAAATTGCTGCAAAGTATCAGTGCTGCAAATTCCATATATATCTTACTTTGACTTGGACTTACGTGAAGCAAGAAAGACTGCTCCTCCATAGACTCCAATAAGGGCGGCATTCCATAGTTGAACTAGAAGTAGGCGAGCATCTGTCAGAAAAGCCCGATAGATTGCAGATTTCATCACATACTATCTTTCTCTGCAACACCGATTCTGGAATTTAAAATGGTAGGTATAAATGGAACGATCTAGATTCAAGTTGTCAGTACGCTACAAAATCCAAAAGTTCAGAGAATGTAAGTACTTACAAGGCCATAAAATAACGTGTCCTGTCCCTCGTTACTACGGACACTTTGGATATTTCCTTGCTTGGTCAACTAGAGGAGAAGTTTTTCTTGGGATATACTCACAGTGAACACTGCCATTATCACAACAGCAGTGATGAACCAATCCGCCGACCGCACCTTGAGCAAGACTGGCGGTGAAGGCATTGAATGCTCGCCATGTTGTTGTGTGATCACGATATCCATGATAAATGTGTGGTTTGGATGCTGTGGATGAAGAAAAACAAATGCAGTACTGGCAGGAAAAGGGATATCATCCTTTCCCATACATGCATAAGTCTGCAAGTTTCCTGAAAGTGACAGGTTGCCTCATCATTCTGACGCATATTGAATGTCACACATAATATACGATGATCCTGGTTTGATTGTCTCAGAGCACAAATACAGGTCTCAAAAGCCAGCGAGACAGGTTTCAATCTGATGTGATGTGATACAACCATCGCTATCTACAAATGCCGAAATGCGAAAATCGGTCTCGCAAAGAAGGCGTGCTTGGAACGAGATCGATCCCGGTTTTGGAGAGTGATGAGCGCTACATTTTGAATGAGTACCAGGCAGTTACTTGTTGATTTACTGGTATTTTTAACAAGTACTACGTATCACATATGCATGGCTTATCTTGTACTTCCCTAAAATTATTGGATGAAGTTCATCTGAAGTTCAAAACGGAATAAAATGTTCGGAATAATGTTGCTTGGAAAGGAAATATATGCAGATCCGATTTTTACACACCTCAATCTTGATGGGTTTTCTTTCTGCATAAATTTTGCATACCGCGCCGAATCTTTCCGTTCTTGCTTCACCATAATTTATGTGACGAATCTCATTTTGAGGCTTTTCTGAAGCTGATGACAATTTCTCAATGTTTCACGTCACGAACTAGCAATACCCCCACGGGAAGTTTCGTGGGGATTGATCTGCATGCACTCTGCCAGCTACCTCAAGTCGAACTCATATCTTTTTCGTTGAGACTAGAGCAATTCCATGAGCCGTGAGACCTTATTGGCATATGTTGCAATAAGAGTATACTATATACCACAATATAGAGTTATCTTGAACTATTGAGTTTCAAATCATGTCGGTTTCGAGTATTGGTTTTTCTTCCGTTCTCGTGAAGCATACAATTGTTGCCAAGTTGGGCAATGCCCCTATACTGGTGGCAGCTGGAATTCGGCCTCAATATCAAAATGGATAAAATTATCAGTACTACTATAACAGCGCATTTCATGCGCGAGATTGGTTCCAATGGCTTTCATAAACAGAAGCGATTCAGCGAAGCAAGCAGGAATCAGCTCTTCCTTTTCATACAACCCTTCGTATCCAAGTTTGTGGATCCACTCAAGAAGCAGTCATGATTGCCAAAATCGAGCCGGAAGAGCACCAAATCCACCAGGATCTCGCACCGATCATCGTTGCGGGCCTAAGGTCCACGCCTCGCTCCTTCCCTTCATTGCTTCTTTGGGATGAATATGGACTTTCTGTATACGAGAAGATCACCAATTCAAAGGATTACTACCCCTCACGAGTAGAGGCTGAAGTTCTAAGAGATAATGTTGATAGTATCATCTCAACCATTGCTCCAAATTCTGTGATTCTCGAGCTCGGAAGCGGGTGAGAATGCTCCTCTTTCCAAACAAAATCTTCCATGATAACTTACACACCCCACATAGCTCCCTCCACAAAACAGGCATCCTACTCTCAGCTCTAGCAGCCGCCAAAACCCCTATTGACTACTACGCCCTCGACGTATCCGCATCCTCCGTCTCCCAATCTCTATCCGACCTCCGAACCCGCCTCAATCATTCCCCCCACGTACAATGTCACCCCCTCATCCTCACCTACGCCGATTCCATCCAATGGCTCATGGACACCCCCTCTCTTCACAATCGCGACATCCATATTCTCTGGCTCGGAAGCTCCATTGCCAATGAAAGTCCCAAGGAAATCTCAACCCTGTTCACCGGCTTCGCACATGCGTTTCGTCATAGTGGGTTGCGCAGCTTGAGGTTCCTGGTCGGTGCGGATGGCTGTAAGGAGAGAGAGTTGGTGCAAAATGCTTATGATACGAGAGACGGGTTGAGTAGGAAATTCGTGTTGAATGTTCTGACTAATGCCAATAGAGCGCTAGAAGTAGATGTTTTTGAAGAGGGAAAGTGGGCGTTTAGTGGGGAGTGGGAGGAGGGTAGTGAACAGTATAGAACTAGTATTGTGGCAGTGGAAACGCAGAAGTTAATCCTAGGAGAGGAAGAGGTAACGGTGAATGAGGGCGAGAAGGTCACGGTTATCGTCTCGAGGAAAGTGGGCAGAATGGATATGGAGGGTTGGTGTAAGGGAACGGGCGTAGAATTGGGGAAAGTCTGGACGCATGCCAAGGTGGATTATTGTAAGATTCCCTTTTCTCGTTTCTTTCTGTATTTCCTCGCCCTTCCTTTCTTCCTTCCTTCGATTAGGGAGGGATATTCATAGACTAATGGTGTTAATCGCAAATAGCTTTCTTCGAATTACTCACTACTTTTCAGAAGTGATAGATAGATAGATATTCTTTCCTAGAATTTGGATTTCTTGATTTCTTGAAATCTTAAAATCTCAAAATCTCATCTCGAATCTGTCCGCGAAATAGTGTGGGTGGGTGGGATTTGATTTGTTATGATATGATGGAAAATGGAAAATGGAAAGAAGACTGTACCTCAAGCAAGCAAGCCGGTGCTCTCTCTAGCTTTCGGATTGGATGAATGGATTGGAATGCCAGTGGGGAGTATATTCGTATTGTATGGTATGATTCTTGTTAGATCTAATTATAGTTATAGTAGTGTAGTGTAGTTAGTTAATTAGTTAGTTAGTTACTCGAGACTTTGGATTTATTTTATTTCAGCATAATTGGATTTTTGTGTTTTTGTTTATGATATAATTGATATGTCGCGATTCATATATATATGTGTATATATTATGATGAGTAAGTAATCCTTATTATATATAATATAATGTGACGGAACAGACGGCTCTCTTGGACCTTCCTTTCACAGCTTAGAGCCTTAGCTCTATAGCTCTAGACCTAGGCATCTTACGCCTAGGTCTCTTTCACCCTTTTGGGCCTAGCCCTTATGGCTCCCAATACCTGTATATATAGTCCTCCTTTTAGCACCCTACATAGCTCTTCACTTGTAGATTCTAAGTACACAATCGGAGTCCTGTTTATACCCTTTTGGTCACATATAATATCAAATAAATAACTTTAAAGTTGAAGCCAGAGGCTACTCGAATACTTCGATACCGAAGATCTCAATATCTGTATTAGTACTCGAGAGTATTAGTATTAGTATTAGTGTTCTGTGCTAGTAGCGATATATAAGATTTCATAGCGATTGTAATTGTAATTGTAATTATAATAAGCTGGATAATGGGAGATTACTCTCCTCGTACTCGTATCTATGTTGTGTATATTATATATATATCTATATAACTTGAGGAATGATTCATTGATTGAAAAATGAAGTTTAATAGATCAATATATAAATAGCTGGAAGATAGATAGATGGTCTTATACCGTGACAATTATTGCGCAGTACAGTGCAATCAACATAGACAAGCATTAGCAAGTATCACATTATACACATAATATATTCTCGAGTAATAGGTAACTACAGTAGCGTCTCACTCATACTTGAGTATGGACAGATAGATCGACAGATCGACAGATAGACAGAGATATACTAAGAAATATCCCCTACCCTAGTCGCCTACCCTACCATATCATAAAAATACAATTCCATATTTCACAGCCAGTGATTGGAGTAAAGTATATGAAGAAAATTAGTATATACGATTGAGTATTAGTGGTATTAGTGTTAATGTGAGTATTACTTGGTAAGCAAGTAAGTAAGTAGCAGCCATATAATTAATTGATCAATGAATAAATCTATTCAATCTCTTATAATACTTCGCATATTATAATCTTGAATCTTATATCTTAAATCTCGTACCGGTTTCTTATATCTCGTATCTTGTATCTCATATCTCATATCTTAAATCTCAAATCTCGTATCTTATATCTTGTATTACAACTACCTACATACGATACAATATCTAAATATTCCCTAATCATGATTAAACCCAAATTAAACCCAAATAAACCTATGGTGTACTGCTAACCCCCCGCCCCCTCCC